GAGACTTGCACTAGTGTTTATCCTCCATGAAGCACAGTAATAACATTTAAAAGAGTCATGGGAGGCCAAAATGCATGGTGACATGATGGATAATGCAGCACCATCAGTCTTGATGTAACCAGCTTTAAATTAAATATATGATAATAGAGAACTGTACAGGCAGGAAGATTTATTTGTTTCAATAGAAACAGGCTCCAAAGAACCATTACATCATGAGTAATAACAGCATTGCTACTTTTTTTCTTGATATGGGAGATATAAAGTTAGCCAGGGATGAGATGCATTTGACAATAAGGAAGATAGTACCAACAAGAGATGGTACCTGGACCTGGACAGGAAGAGATGGCACCTGGACATTAAGAAGAATCTTGTTTTGTACTTGTTGGATAATCAGGTGTTTTGTTATTATTTCTTTTTTCATTATTCTAAATCTTAATGGATAAATTAATATGCTTCCGATGGGTCCATGCAGATGTTGCATAAATCCTATTTTGGGCACTATTAATGTACAATAGAACACGAAGGGTGCCTCCTGGTGTTGAGCGATGTGGTCTCAGTTATTTTTGTTACTACGGTTAATTTTAGGGATTTGGTTTATGAAGGGGCAGCTGAGATTGTGATAAGCCTGCTATTTTCTAACAGACGTGTTTGATACATGGAAACTACAAATGGAAGCCCATCATTCCTACCCTTCCCTTCTGACCTAACAACTCTCTTTGTTCTTCTTAGTCACTTTATAAAGTCTAACCTTCCACCTCTCCAATATCTTTTTTCACCCTCCCTTCAACACCCTAATCAGTTTGAACTTCACAGTATTCGTTAGCACACCTGCTTTTCATGCCTCCCTATGTGAGTTTTGTCTGTAATACCTGGGATGTCTTGCTGTCTCTTTTTTATTCAGTTTAAAGGTCACTTTCTTTGAGGAAACTTCCCTGGTTAGAGTCAGTCACTTCTTGCCTTAATACTTGTTTGGTCTTTGAACTTGACTTTTCATAGCATTCACATTCATTTTTTATTTCAAATCACGTTTATATTTTATTATAATTATTATAGATTTTACAACCATTTTACATGCATATAATCTGCGTCCTAGGGTTGGAATTTGAACACATGTCTTTCTGACTCCTGACAGCAGGCCCCTTTAATGGCATCAGTTCATTTATGTTCCTCTCTCTTCAACTCGATAGTGCTTCTCATGAGAGAGGGTCATGAATTAGGAGCCCATGTGTCTCCCTTGGCACTTAGCATAACTTGGTACATAAAGAGTATTTAATAAAAATGAGGTGAATAAATTGATTTATACTATGGGCTATAAATTTTCTAAACTACAAATCATAGAATCCTAATTTACAATAATTTCCTGGACTTCCACAGCAGCAGATATAATAAATTGAATTTTATGCAAATTTGAATCATGCAAATTTGTGCTTTAGGATAATAATCATGATTCATTTTATTTTAACCACGTGAAATAGTGGAAATTCCCCCCAATAAAAATGCAGAAAGGACTGCACATTCAAAGCTGGCAGACCTAGCAATGTTCATATGGTGGTGTCACTTTTGTGTCACTCTAGTGGTCTAGAATTATCCCAATTATCTCTCTTCTGTGAGTGATTGGAGAATAAATACATGAATACTTGCATGGCATCAAAGAACAGGCTTTAGCATTTTGAGATATGTCTTTTTGGGCAAGGCAGAATCTTTTTCTGACTAATGAAATATTTTATGTTACTAAAATGTTATGTATGATGGGTAATGTATAGGTGGAGTAATAGCCATTTTGTGCATTTTATTTAATTCTTGTGAATCTTGTGTAATTTCATCAACAATAGACTATAAAAGTTAACTGGACAATATCTGAAAAATATTGCATACAAATGAACACATCACTTTCCTATATTTACTCTTGATCTCTACTCAGGGCTTACTCAGTTCTGTTTGTCACAAATTTCTTTATTCATTTACTTAGTCAAGTGATGTCTGTACACTAGAGATTGTTTTCTTAAAAACTCATGAATTTCTTACCTCCTACAGAATACCAGAGAGCACATATGTTCTTATTCCTTCTTAGGAACCTCAAAAGTAATGACATTTTTCTAAATAAAGAGTGCTTGTTTAAAAATATATAGTCTAAACAAGGGAAGAGACATAATTTGCTTAAGAATAATTCTAGGTTTTTATTTCATATATTTCCTATGAGGAAAATGTATACTTACAGGGCTCTGTGTGTGTGTGTGTGTGTGTGTGTGTGTGTGTGTGTGTGTGTGTGTCTTAGTCTGTTCAAGCTGCCAAAACAAAATACCATAGCTTGGGTGACTTAACAGAAATTTATGTTCTCACATTTTTGGAGGCATAAAATCTACAGTCAAAGTTCTGGCAGGGTTTAGTGTCTGATGAGGGCTGTATTCCTGGCTTATAGATGGCCACCTTCTCACTGTGTCCTCATCTGGTGGCGAGAGCAAGCAAGCTCTCTAACGTGATAAGGGAACTAATCTCACCATGAGGGTCCAGATCCCATGATCTCATCTAACCCTAATTATCTCCTAAAGGCCAAGCACCATGCCATTGGAGGCTAGGGCTTCAACGTATGAACTGGGGGAGGCAGAAGGGGGGCGGGAGAACATCCAGTCCATTCAGAGTGCGAAATCTCTGGACCAGGTATGGGATTTTTCTGAATTTCCTGTAGCAGTGAGCCATCACTCAACCTTGCTAAGTGCTATGGTTGAATGTATGTCTCTCTCCAAAATTCAAATGTTGGAACCTATTCCCCAATGTGATAGTATTAAGAGTGGAGGCCTTTTGGGAAGTGATTAATCTGCCCTCATGACTGGATCAGTGCTCTTATAAAAGAGACTGAAGGGAGCACTCTAGGTGAGGTGCCCTACTGCTCCATGGGGACCCTTAGCTAGTGCCATCTATGAGGAATGGGCCTTCTAGACACAGAACATGCTGGTGCCTTGATCTTGGACTTCTCAGCCTTTGAAGCTGTGAGAAATAAATTTCTGTTGTTTATAAATGATCCAGTCTGAGGCGTCTTGTTTTAGAAGAACAAATTGACTAAGACACTAAGGAAAGGAAGTATTTAGTAATTATGCTGATGATGGTAGATAGCCAGAGACTCCCTGTGTTATTTCTTATACTCTGTCATTGCTATGGAAGCTGGGAAGAGAGAAACTCTATATAAAAAAGTCATTACAAAAAAGGATTTAGGAAAGGCTTTTTTGGCACAAATTATTGTTCTAGGAGATGCTCTCAAATTATGGTGTTTCTCTTACATGGTATATAATCTATTTGAGCATGTGGACCAGTTCTGCTGTTTTAAGAACCCATACCCACTTAGCATAAGCAGCCAAGCCATCAAAGGAGAAATGCTGTTAATGAAAAGTACATTTTTATGAAATTTATTTCTGATTGGCCCTTGACTTGTTTTGCTCTATCTCTGCATGACCCATATTGATGTCTTAGTTCACCTTGCTGACCTCAAGGCACTTCTATCCTTTTAAGTTTGGCAGGCAGTTTGGTTGCCTAATCTAACTCTGATTCCTCTCACTTTGTTCCTGGAGTAGAAAGAGAGGGAAAAAAATGTTTTTCCCCTCTAAAAACTAGAGATAAAATCCCTTTGATGAAGGAAAACTGTCTTTTTTTTTTTTTTAAGCTAAATACTTTGATAACTTGGTCTAGTACTTTTTCAGCTAAATACTTTGATAACTTGGTCTAGTACCAAGACCCTAAGGACTGCCCCCTTCTTAGATCTGTCCTGGGACCTCTGGACCCTGAATATTTGAGAGAACATAAATGTAAACATTTCAGTAATGATTTGTGGTGAGAAGAGTATGAGAAATATGTCATTCACTTGTGTCAACAAATGAGTGAAGACAATTAAATTAGTGCAAAAATCCTGACTACAACTGTCCGATTCAGTGTCCTCCAATTTCTCTTTATAAAGGTTATGCTTGGTGCCAGATTTTGTGCTAAGCACCATAGAAACCACAGAGTCTTTAAATGCAAGAAATTAACACAGCAACAACAAAAATAAATAAATGGGATCTGATGAAATCAAAAAGCTTCTGCACAGCCAAGGACACAATCAATAGAGCAAATAGACAACCTACAGAATGGGAGAAAATATTCGCATGCTACACATCTGATAAAGGATTGATAACCAGAATCTACAAAGGACTCAAGCAAATCAGCAAGAAAAAATTAAACAACCCCATTAAAAAGTGGGCAAAGGACATGAACAGAAACTTTTTCAAAAGAAGATAGACTAATGGTCAACAAACACACGAAACAATGCTCGACATCTCTAATCAAGGAAATGCGAATCAAAAACACAATGACATATCACCTAATTGCAGTGAGAAGGGCTTTTATCAAAAAGTCCCCAAACAACAGGTGATGGTGAAGATGTGGAGAGAAAGGAACAGTTATACACTGTTGTTGGGACTGCAAACTAGTACAACCTCTATGGAAAGTAATATGGAGATATCTCAAAGAACTAAAAGTAGACCTACTATTTGATCCAGCAATCCCACTACTAGGTATTTACCCCAAGGAAAAAAAAAAGTATTTTATAAAAAATACACGTGCACTTGAATGCTTATAGCAGCACAATTCACAATTGCAAAGATGTGAAATCAACCCAAATGTCCACCAATACATGAGTAGATTAATAAAACATGGTATATGTATACCATGGAGTACTACTCAGCCATAAAAGAAAACAGTGATCTAGTATCTTTTGTAATAACCTGGATGGAATTGGAGGCCATTCATCTTAGTGAAGTATCACAGGAATGGGGAAAAAAAACCACCACATGTAGTCAATACTAAATTAGAACTAATTGATCAATACTTACGTGCACATATGGAAGTAGAACTCAAGGGAAATCAAGTGGGGGGGGGAGGAGTTGGGTAAATTCATACCTAACGGGTACAGTGCACACTAACTGGGTGAAGGGCACACTTATAACTTTGACTCAAACTGTACAAAAGCAAATTATGTAACCAAAATGTGTGTACCCCCATAAAATTCTGAAAGAAAAAAAAAAGAAGTTAACCATCTATGAATAAATGCATAGCTTACAAATGACTGATAAAACATCAAACAAGAAGTTCCATGAGAAAACAATCTAAAAGGTGTTATAAATTGTCAAAGGTGAGAGGGCCCTTCTTTAATTAGGGAGTAATCAGAAATATATTCATGAAAAATTATTTGATATAGACTTTAAAGATTGAGTACAGTTGTTACAAGCATTGATGGGGAAGGGCAGTAGAGATTAAAAGCCACTTTTGAACAACCAACCACTTAAACCAACAAACAAAAAATGAAAAGAATCTCAGAAATCTCAGATTAAGGGAAGCAAAGGCATTTTTTAGCAACCCACATGTACAGCTCAACTGCTCTGAATAAGAGAATATATCTAATATTTAACACTAATGCCATGCTAATAATGATAATAATTACTGTCATCTTTTTTAATCTCAGTAGACATAAGGCATTTAAAATACATTATGCCATCTATACATCAAAATAAACTTCAGGGGAAATATCGTTTTCATGATATAAGTGAGAAAGTTAAGAAACAGAGAGATTGAATTATTTGTCTAATGTCATATGGCTAATAATTGGCTATATGACAATTAGATTAGAATTAGATTATATTTGAATCTGATACCAAAAGTCCAGTTTATAGTGCCAGGTTGTTTCTGAGCAGCTTCCCAGATTCATGGAAAAGTAAACAGAATCAAAATCAGAGCAATGGAAAAGCTTTTGCTATGAACTCTGTACTTTGGACTAAACTTTAAGCAATGACATAGGCTGAGGATTGTTTGCTGCTAGCATACAAACTCTGGTTCAAAGCTCCTCTTTATTGTTTATCTTGTAAAATCTGGTGTTCTTCAAGGTTTTGCTTTTTCTACCATCTCTGTTTCTCAACCCTCCTCATGGCTATAGTAACCCTCTATGAATGAATGAATCTCCATCTCCAACCTCAATCTTATTCTGGAGGACAAGAAGCTGTGTTCATATGTCCTTCAACCTCTCCACTTGGGTGGCTTAAAGACACTTCATTCTGCAAACCAGCCCGTTCTGCCTAGAATGTTGCTCAGAGTGGAAAGGGGGCCTGATTAATAATTACACTAAGTCAACAAGCATAGAACCAGGACTGTTTGGGTAAACTGGTCACTCTATCTGAAGCTCAACAGATCTAAAACTGAACACATCCTCAGTTGCAAAGTCCTTTTGATTTTATGTCATTCATACCACTTAACTTCATCTATGGCTCTCATTTCCCATGAGCACTGCTCTGGCCACTTACTTGACAGTGTTATTGCAGAAACTTCCTAGCTGGTCTCCTTATCACAGCCTTGTCCCCTTTTGTAACATAGAGACAGTTTCAAAATATAAATAGGATTTTTATTAGCTCCCTTCTGTACCATTGCTCTGGGAAGAGGTATAAAATTGATGTAAAAGGTCTTTGAGATGTGACCCCTACCAACTCTGCCAGAAATTCCCTATAGGTTGTAAGTTCTATCATTAAACTCTACACTTCGCTGAATTGCATTTCTTCTATTCCTTAAGTATGCCTTGTTCTGCCTTGCCACTCACTGGGCCTTTCCACCGCCTTCTACGTCTGCCTGGAACACTCTTCCCTCCCTCTTTATTTGGCCCACCTCTAATTTTCCTTCAGATATCCACTAAAATGTTACTTCTTCCAGGAAGTCTTACCCGAACCCTCCAAAGATTTCAGGTGTTGCTCCTTTCACTCTACTTATCACAGCATGCATTGCACCGTGCAGTCATTGCTGAGGTGGCTGTTTCTCCTATTAGACAGTAAGCTTAGCCAGAGTACTTTGGTGCCTGTTTCTCATTGCTGATTATTCCTATCAAAGAACAGTGCTGGTGTGCAGACTCAACGTTTTTGCTGCAAGAATAAATAAAACTCCCACTTACCAAGTGCTACTTTGTGCAAGGCCCTGTTCTGAGCCATTTATGCTCATGGATTTATTTAATCCTCACTTAACCATGAAGGAGGGGCACTATACTTATCATCATTTTATAGACAAAAATAAAGCCCAGAATTGAATTACTTACCCCAGATCTTATAACTATTAATAATAAGTGACAGGGCAAAAATTCAAACCTAGTCCCCACATCCACACGTTTAACACTGCACTATATGGCTTGCTTGATCATATGACATGAATAGAAGACATCTGCTCAGTAAGGTAGAATATGGATGGAGATAGAAGAATGACACAAAAATAGCACAATATAGAGAAAATATCCAAACAGCACCTCGAATGACAATGAGGTTGTTGTGCCTGTTGTTGTCCATCAGCATCCTGATGAAGTGGTGGCTGACACAACCCACATCTAGCTTGATATGTGCGTGTTATTTGCAGTTATGTGTCTATTTATATGCATGTTATAATATTAAAATAGTCATAATTTAATAGAGGTTTAGTATTTATCAGCCATTTTTACAGATGTCCCCTTTAATATTTTGATGAAACGATGAGATTGGATTGCCCAGCCTTGCAGATTATATATATATAGGCATAAAAACTGAAATGTGGTTGTGAAGTTGCAAAGATTTCAGAGCTTATAGAATCTGGTATTTGCCAAATGCAACCTCTTCCTCTACCTTAAACTCTTATTTTTGAATGAGCACATTTATCATTCATTCAGCAAATGTTATGGACTCCTGACTGTGAACCAGATACTGTGAAAGGCTTTGGGATATTTTGTTTGTGCTTAGCTAAGCTGTATATGGTTTGATTACCAAAACTGCATTTCAGTTCTTTGTAACTAATGCTTGAAGACCATTGCTTTTCAGTTATTTCTTAATAACTAATGCATTTGTTTTCATATATTAGAGTGAAAGCCCCTTTCAGGGATAGTGAGGGAGCTGTGTCTCATATATACTATCCTAGAATCTAAATGGGTAGACAAGGTCAGGGCCACCTCTCACTAGAGAGAACTTTCAGGAAGACCTGTTCCTGTTAGTGCGTTCCTAAGGAGACAAAACCCAGGATAGCCACATGTAGCAGAAAATGAACAAAAACTAGCAAATAAATGGAAGTTTTACTTGACTGGCATTTAAGACCTTGTTCACGTTATGATAAATATTTATTATCTGCTAGAAGTGCTACTGATAATAAACTTTTATTTAAATGTGTAGCCTAGTAATTAGTAGTGTAATCTATTTTTTAAAATATACCTTACTGACATACAAATATGTCATACAGATGAAAAGTATTTTTGAGCTAAATGAAAACAACATAATCAAGCAATGTATTCCTTAATGAAGAGTCTGAATGGGTCAGACAATGTGTGCAGTGCCAGGTATATGGTAGGCATTCAATTAATAGTTTTAAAGAATTAATGTATTTATTTAGTCCAATTGCATACCAATGCTGGTGTCTTTTGTTTATGGCCTCATTAACTTGTTAATCTGAAAGGAATTAATTATTCTGCAATTTAGGGACAGATCATCTCTTTGAATATTCTGTAGTTTGCAAAGAATATTTAATGTTTGCAAAATGGGATGAATTTGCAAGATTTTTCCTTTTTTTCCACCCAAAAGAGGTCTGTGTCCTTGAACATAAGATACAAATAACCCCTATGCTGTTAATTATTGGCAAATTGTCCCATCTTCAACCTAAGGAAATATTGTAAAGTAACAGATATACCAGCAAACAGTTACTAGTTAACAGGCATTGCCTGAAAAGAGTATAAAAGAATTTCAGCACCATTTTCAATATTCTTCTCCCACCAGTGCTAACAACGAAATAACTAGTAACCATGAAGTGGGTGGAATCAATTTTTTTAATTTTCCTACTAAGTTTCACTGAATCCAGAACACTGCATAGAAATGCATATGGAATAGGTGAGATATTTTGTGTTTCTCTTTTTGTCTTCTCTTTCTATATCAAAATTCTTAAAATTCTTAAATTTGCATGCATCCGTTTATCTTGATTTATTTGTCATATTTACTGTTCTGCACAGAAGAAAAATATTTAACCCGTGGATACATTTAAATAAAAGATAACTTTGCAAGAGAGTAACAAAATCATAGCAATGCTTGACATGATCACTGGATGATTGGTGTGTTCCATGCTAAACTACTTTTTTTGTACGTTATTTAATTGATATGCATTCTCTTTGAAAAAAATTATTCACACACACACACCAGGCCATAACCCTGGCTCCTTCATGTATAAAATTCCTGCAGACTGGTAAATTAAGTAATGTCTTTATTCTTAATCCAGAAAAATGGATCACCATTTGACTGTATGAGGAAGCAGCACTGTGATTGGGATATGAATGGCAAATTGTACTATAATCATGTTCAAAAGGATGATTGAAATACATTTTTAACCATTTTATTTTCAGGCCAATTATAGCATCATATTACAGAGAAAAAACCAACAACTGGAAGACAAAATCTGGATTTTAGTGCCAGTTATGCCTGTTAACTTCATTCCTTAGTTTCCTAGTTTTCTTAAGTATAACATTAAGTTGTTTAGATAAGTGATCCCTAATGTCTTCTTAGTTCTAAAATTGTATAAAATATTTGTTTGTAACCTTGATTACTTTCCTGGTTGCAGTTGAAAACATCATTATTCATAAAGTTTATTTTGCCTTCCAGCTTCCATATTGGACTCTTCCCAATGCACTGCAGATATGAACTTGGCTGACTTGTAAGTTTTGTTGTATAAATGCACTTTAAATGCACAAAGCAATGATAACTTTAGTAAGTGATTAAATGAAATGGGGTAGCTCTATTAGTTTTTAAAAGTATGAAATGAAAGCAAATAGGACAATTTCAAGAAAAGTTGTTGATACTAAATATTTTTTTTTTGAGAGAGAGTCTCGCTCTGTTGCCCAGGCTAGAGTGCTGTGGCATCAGCCTAGCTCACAGCAACCTCCAACTCCTGGGCTCAAGCGATCCTCCTCCCTCAGCCTCCTGAGTAGCTGGGACTACAGGCATGCACCACCATGCCCGGCTAATTTTTTCTACATATTTTTAGTTGGCCAATTAATTTCTTTCTATTTTTAGTAGAGATGGGTTCTTGCTCTTGCTCAGCTGGTCTCCAACTCCTGAGCTCAAATGATCCACCCATCTTGGCCTCCCAGAGTGCTAGGATTATAGGCGTGAGCCACCGCGCCCAGCCCGATACTGAATATTAAATTGATAATGAAGAGGTTGAACTGTTGGCCAACGCCTTAGGAATTAATCTCTAGATTCCTTGAAACTCCATGGAACAAACCACATCAGATTTTAGAAACTGAAGATTAGTGTCTTATCAGTGACAAGATGTATGAATTCAGGAATTTTTCTCACCAATATCAATAGGATGATATTACAATGTTCTTTATTCTGCATGCTATTTACATCTTGGTAGCAAATCATAAAAGGTGAAATATTCTATTTTCTGTTATTTGTGGACAGTATGTTGTTCTCTTGAAGACTGTCATTCCATTCCACATTTCTGAAATTTCTAATAAGGAGTTTAAAGTAGTGTGTTGCTGCTTCTGCTTGCACAAAACTTGCTTTGAATTAATCCATGAGCATTGTAGTCTTGGATCAGACCTTGATCATGCTGGGAGTAGACATGGTCAGAGATGTCTAATGATCAAGTTTTTATTTAAATTTAAAAGAAACTGTAAAGAATAAAGACATCCTTAATTATGGGTGCATTGCAGTTGATGGGTGATCACAAAAGGAAGGACCACTTTTATGGGAAATCCACTTATTTTGACCTTTAAGATATATATATGCATGTTTATGGGGGATGAAAACAATAGAAATTTCTTCTTGAATGGCTAAATTTTATATAAATTTTTAGTAAAGGTCACCCTTTCTAAACAGGTCATACCATAAACAGAAAACAAAATAAAAACCAAAAACTATATTTGAGAAAAATAAGCTTGATATCTTTCTTTCTTTCTTTCTCTTTCTTTCTTTCTTTCTTGTTGCCCAGGTTAGAGTGAGTGCTGTGGCGTCAGCCTAGCTCACAGCAACCTCAATCTCCTGGGCTCAAGCAATCCTGCTGCCTCAGCCTCCCGAATACCTGGGACTACAGGCATGTGCCACCATGCCCAGCTAATTTTTTGTATATATATTTTTAGTTGGTCGATTAATTTATTTCTATTTTTGCTAGAGACAGGGTCCCGCTCAGGCTGGTTTTGAACTCCTGACCTCCAGCGATCCGCCTGCCTCGGCCTCCCAGAGTGCTAGGATTATAGGAGTAAGCCACCACGCTCGGCCGATATTTCTGTTTCTTAATCATTCACGTGAATTTTTGTTTCAGAGCTACCATATTTTTTGCCCAGTTTGTTCAAGAAGCCACTTACAAGGAAGTAAGCAAGATGGTGAAGGATGTATTGACTGTAATTGAGAAGCCCACTGAGCGAACTGCAGGGTGTTTCGAAAACCAGGTGAGAGAATGCTTAAAAAAAAGCAATGTGATATTTGACCAAAATTTAGTATACAGAAGAGAAGATACAGGGATGGCATGAGAAATGCATTTAAATATTTGAAGAGCTGTTGTATGAAAGATAAATTATATTAATTCTGAATTGCGGAAGAGGGCAGAAGAGAACAATGGGTGGCTATTGTAAGGAGACAATATAAGCATGGTGACTAAGAGCTAAGGTTCTGAAATAAGATTATGTGGGTGACCATGGGCATATTATCTAAAAATTTCTTGAGCGTTAGCTTTCTTATCTATAAAATAAAGAATAATAATAGCCAAGGCACAGAGAGGTTGAGTAACTTTCTTAAGGGGCCCACCAAATGGCAGAACCAGGATCTAACCTAGGTCCCCTGGCTCCAAGATCAGCATCCTTCGTGGCTTCATGACACTACACTCTGTGCGATAGTGGATGTGAGGTGTGTAGCCAGATTTAGCAAACAGTAACAAAACATGATACCCAGTTCAATCTGGATTTTAGATAAACATCAGATACCTTTTTAAATATAAAGTTGTTCCAATGTTGGAGCTCAATAAATAGTAATTATTATTATTTATTTTATGTAAATATAGAAAAAAATCTCTATACTGGCTAGAGCTATCTGGTTATGAAACAACCTGCCCAGAGAATCCTCTGTCTCAGAGGGGTTGGTGAAGCAGCCAAAAGACAATGTGCCTGGAATATCACAGAGGAGATGCCTTTTTAAAGATAAAGTATTTTCCAACTCTGAAATTCATGATTTGGTGAAAAAAAAATCCCTCTTTTGCATCTCTGCTTTTGGCTTGTCCTGACAATCTCGTAAAAATGTGTATAAAAATGCAAAATACATTTCCTGTTACAACTGTACATCCAATTAGAGGTTAAAGGTCATGTTACAGATTGCTGATTTATCGTTGTAAACTTAAAGGCATTATTTTTTAATTTGGGTTGGGAATTGGAGGTCTCATGTAAGCTTTCCAGGATTCTCTAAATATTATGTAGCCATTGTAAAAGCTAAATAAATGCTTCCTGAGATGAATGAAACACACATATTCCTCAGAGCCTTTCTTTGCAATATTGGTGTCATCTGATTTCGGTTCAATTAAGTCACCAAAGAAGGAAGCGTGTGCATTTTAAAACACTTTAGCTAAATCTGTAATAAAGACCAATGAGACGTGTTTCTTTTAAAAATCATTTTTTCCAGTTCAAAATCCAATCATTATTATGTTTCAAAATCATTTTTGTTTTTAACTGAAAATAATATCTAATTTTAGATCATTGTTTTGTCATAAGAATGCCAAACAAGATGAGTGTCCACATTTGACAGATAGTTTAAATGCAAAAGGAAATCTTATGTATCCTAGGCCAAATTTTGATAACATAAAAGGGAAAAATGAAATAATTCAAAATTGAAGGAGAGAGACAAAATATTGTGTGGATTTTTTTCCTTCTAAAATAAAATAATTTGGTCTCATAGACATGTATATTACTTAAGGTTAGAGAATAAAATTTCGTTTCCCATAAGGCAGCAAAGAAATCTATCTCCTCAGGCTGAAACTGAATACATTGGAATTTGTATAGGAATTTTTCTTTTTTTTCTTTTTTCTTTCAGAATATTATGGGGGTACAAATGTTTAGGTTACGTATGTTGCCCTTGACCCACCCAAGTCAGAGCTTCAAGCGTGCCCATCCACCAGATGGTGCACACTGCACTTATTAGGTGTGAATATTCCCATCCCTTCTTCCCCCCTCCCATCTGCCTGACACCTGATGAACATTACTACTATATGTGTACTTAAGTGTTGATCAGTTAAAACCAATTTGATGGTGAGTACATGTGGGGCTTGTTTTTCCACTCTTGGGATACTTCACTTAGTATAATGGGCTCCAGCTCTATCCCGGATAAAACAAGAGGTGCTAGACCACCATTGTTTTTTGCAGCTGAGTAGAACTCCATGGTGTACATGTACCACATTTTATTAATCCACTCATGTATTGATGGGTGCTTGGGTGGTTTCCACATCTTTGCAATTGTGAATTGTGCTGCTATAAACATTTGAGTGCAGGTGTCTTTTTTATAGAATGGAATTTTTCTTAATCTATCGATAGTTTTAACTTTGGATATTAGAAAACTTTTCATGTGTTTTGGAGAATTTTGAAGCAAAGTTAGTTGTCTTTCATTAAAAATCAAGTTTTTCTTACAGATATCTGTCTTTCTGGAAGAAATTTGCCACGAGAAAGAAATTTCTGAAAAGTATGGACTTTCACACTGCTGCAGCCACAGCGAAGAGGAAAGACTTAGCTGTTTCCTTGCGCACAAGAAGGCCGCTCCCGCGTCCATTCCGGCCTTCCAAGCTCCAGAGCCTGTCGCGAGCTGTAAAGCATATGAAGAAGACAGGGAGACGTTCCTGAACAGGTGGGATCCGGTTTAAAAGTAGATGACAGCCCCAGAGAGAGCAGCACCCAGCAGAATTTAGTGCTTCTGCAAGTTACGGATTGCTCTCCGTATGGAGAGGCACGGATGATGTCTGTCGTGTGTGTGCTGAGGTCCCACGCGAGGTGATTAGGGGGCGACCGTGTGGCTTTAGTCCACGGCATGCCGCATGCGGCAGACCACACAACCGACCTTTAGTCTCTCGAGATAAATCTTGCTCCCCCTTCTAGTCTCTCAGTTTTGCCTTGTCCCAAGAATATGCTAACACTGTACAAAATGATTCCTTCCAGAGCCAGATACTGGTGTTTTGTGTTCACCAAATCGTCTGGAAATAAGCACTGTTAGAGATGTAGGCATGGCTGAGGTCTCTCAACGTGGCAGAGTTTTACTGGACACGTGGGATGCGGCAGGAGCATGTCTGCTTGCTGCTGGTCCGCTTCCTCTTCGTTCCTATTCCCGTTCTGTTGCTGACGACACTGCGGCCCAGGCCGCTGGCTGAGGCGCACGCCAGTGCCGGGAGGCCGCACCTGGCTCTTCCGTCTTCGGTTGCGGCTGACCCGGGACTCGGAGCCTGCCTCGATGGCCCCTGCCGCGTGGCCGTCCGGCGCCTGCGTCCCGCACCGCGGGCGAGAGGCCGCCTTTCCCGGCCTTGCCGGCCTCTGGCCTAACACGGGGCGGCTTACCCGATGGGGCACGTCAATAGGAACCCCGGTCGGGTGTCTGCCCCGCTCGTTCTCGTAGCCGAGTCTGGCTATTATCTGTCAGACAGCATGTGGGAAAAAAATATAACCATTTTCCTCTCAGGAACCCAGTAAAGAAAAAGCCGAAAGCTTGCCCTGAGTCTCCCCGCACCCCGGCTTAGCCACGCGCCGTGGCAGGGCCGCTGCGGCGCGTCGCGAGCCTCCCGCTGCCCTTGGCTCCGCAGGTACCTGTACGAGACGGCGCGGAGGCACCCCTTCCTGTACGCGCCCGCCGCGCTCGCCGCCGCCGCGCGCCTCGCCCGCGCCCTGGCGCTCTGCTGCCGCGCCCCGAACGCCGGCGGATGCTTCCAGAACAAGGTACCGCTCGCTGCGCGTCCGGGCCTGCCGCCGCCGCCCAGCAGGCAGAGTGGCAAGCGCGGACCCGCCTCTGCCCAGAGCGCCATCTGCCGGGCGGCGCGGCAGCTTGCTGCGAAGCCAGTCGGATTTGCTGGGGCTTCTGTGTTGGTTTGCTTATTTGGGCAGCAATTACTTTACTATTAAAGAAGTGAGTTTGCTGGGCTGGAGAAGGAAAGACAGCGGCAGAGATGCTGATGTGATAAATGCTTTATATTATTTGTTTCATCCTCAGAACAAATGTCAGGTGCATTATTGGCATTCAACAAATAAGGACACTTAGGTTTGGAGAAGTGAGAGCTAGAATAACAACTTCCAGTTGCCACTAGAAGTTCTACCACAAAAATGTCCTAGGAATTGTGACTATTCTCAATGTCACAATCTTATTTTTTTGAAGAAATTAGCAGCCTTCGATTTGTCTTAAAGCTTTTTATTTTTAAATTTTTTTCTTTTTTTTAAAATTTCAACATATTACGAGGGAACAAATATTGTTAAGGTTACATATATTGTCCTTTCCCTGCCCACCCACCCCAGTCAGAGTTCTAGCGCGCCCACTCTCCAGGTGGCGTGCATGGCACTCCTTACGTGAGTGTACCCCCCCCCTCCGCCTGCCCCACACTCGATAAATGTTTCTTTTTTTCTTTTTACATTTTGGTTACATTTTACATCTTTGCCTCTCCCTAGGAAGGGTTAGATGTAAGCCCTTCCCCTCCACAATGTTCACCACATCCCTAAGATGTGGGTCTACCTCCCCAACCCCCAATCCCTGGTGAACACCACCACAATTTGAGCGCCATAGTGTTAATCAGTCAGTACCAATTTGATGGCGAGTAGATGTGGAGCCCATTATTCTGATCTCGTGTCGCCTCACTTTGGATAAAGGGCTTAAGCTTAATCCAGGATAGTATAAGCGGTGCTAGCTCGCTGTTGTTTCTTAGAATTGAGTTATATTCCATTGTGAACATATACCAAATTTTAATAATCCACTCATGAATGGACGGGCACTTGGGTAGTTTCCATGACCGTGTAATAGTGAATTGTGCTGCCATAAACATCCGGGTGCAGATGTCTTTATAATAGAATGTCTTATGCTCTTTTGGGTAGATGCCCAACAATGCTATTGCTGGGTCAAATGGTATTTCTATTTTTAGCTGTTTGAGGTATCTCCAAATTCTTTTCCACAAAGGTTGCACTAATTTGCAGTCCCACCAGCAGTGTAGGAGTGTTCCTGTCTCTCCACATCCTTGCCAGCATTTGTTGTTTTGGGATTTCTTGATACAGGCCATTCTCACTGGGGTTAGGTGGTATCTCATTGTGTTTTGATTTGCATTTCCCTGATGATTAGAGATGTTGAGCATTTTTTTATATGTTTGCAGGCCATTATTCTGTCTTCTTTGGAGAAGTTTCTATTCATTTCCATTGCCCATTTCTTGATGGGGTTGTTTGATTTTTTCTTATTAATTCTTTTGAGTTTTAGATAGATTCTTGTTATTAGACCTTTATCAGAAGTGTACAGAGCAAATATTTTCTCCCATTCTGTGGGTTGTCTATTTGCTCTAATGATAGTTTCCTTGGCTGTGCAGAAGCTTTTTAATTTGGTCAGATCCCATTTGTTTATTTTTGATGCTGCAGTGATTGCCTTGGGGATCTTCCTCAAGAATTCTTTGCCTAGGCCAATGTCTGATAGGGTTTTCCCAACATCTTCTTCTAGGATTCTTAAGGTTTCATGCCTTAGGTTTAAATCTGTTATCCATCTTGAGTGGATTTTTGTGAGAGGTGAGAGGTAGGGTTTTCCCAGCATCATTAAAGCTTTTTAAAAGTATAGTTCATTCATGATTCTCAATGGGAAATTTATGATGTTTTTGTTTCAAGGTACTTTTAACAAACTGTCTGCCATAGATGCATATAAAGTAACCTAAAAGCATAAATGAGTAAATAATGTTCTGCAAAATATATGACATTTATAAATTTTAGCAAAAATACTTTATTTAATATTTCATATTTTACCTATACCAGTTTTTTCTAATTATTAAGAGCATATCAAAAATACATGCTTTCATGATACACTGTTTCTTCTACATCTAGGCAGCATCAATTACAAAAGAATTAAGAGAAAGCAGCTTGTTAAATCAACATTCATGTGCGGTAATGAAGAATTTTGGATCCCGAACCTTCCAAGCCATGTAAGGTTAAGCTCTATCTAGGGACCAGGGTGTGATCTACACAGCCACCATTTTGTAATTTGGGTTCATTTTTCTCATTGTTGCCGTTGTAGAGAATGAAATATCCTTTGATGAGGGTTAATGGGATTAGAATCATCAACACTTATGATGGAAAGGAAGCTAACAGACCAGTCTTCTGTTTAGCACTTAGTAAAGCCTGGCTGTAATAATGCTTAAAGACAACTTTTAAGATTTATATTAGTTGCCTATTCTTTAAGACACTTAAGTTTTTGCCTGCAATCAAATTATACCTCATCATTAGGCCATATTTTTCTAGCTCCTCTACCAAGGAGGCCAGGCTTCACTGAGCATCTATTAAAACTTTTGCCTTAACAAGAAATTCCTTATATTATTTGTGCTTCCTAATTTGCTATAAAGCCCATTATATCAGTTATTGCTTCCTGGGAGAATATTCCCTTGAGGCAACAATATTAGAATCTAGTGTCAGGAGAAAAGAAAGTTCTAAATTAAATAACTGGTTTAAAGTATTCTTTAACTATTTTATTTTATTTTATTATTATTTTTGACTGAGTCTCACTCTGTTGCCTGGACTAGAGTGCTGTGGCATCAGCCTAGCTCACAGCAAACTCAAACTCCTGAGCTCAAGCAATCCTCCTGTCTCAGCCTCCTGAATAGCTGGGACTACAGGCATGTGCCACCACGCCCGGCTAATTTTTTCTATATATTTTTAGTTGTCCAATTAATTTCTTTCTATTTTTAGTAGAGACAGGGTCTCGCTCTTGTTCAGGCTGGTTTCGAACTCCTTCCTTGAGTGATCTTCCCGCCTCGGCCTCCCAGAGTGCTAGGATTACAGGCGTGAGCCACCGTGCCCGGCCTCTTTATTTTATAATGAAACATTTCTAGCATAGGAAACTATCTAAACTGCTAATTGAAAAGTAGTAAGTGTATACATTCAGAGTTTATTTATTTATTTGTTTGTTAAATGACACATTAAAATGTATTGTACATAGTAAAGACCTAGATTAAAGTTTTTAGTCATGGAATTAGTTCCACAGAGTGACTGAAATTTCTTCTTAGAAGAGGTCAAATTTATGTCTTAACTACCCTTCAGCTCAATTTGTGAACTACTTTATTTAAATTATCTTAGTAAAAAAAAAAAGAAATTAAGATAGTATTTTATAATGACTTTGTCATTTGCTATCCATAAGTGATTAAAGTTAAATGCTCTAAATTTATAAAGAAAATTCATGTCATCAGTACCAGCACCACCACCGTTTGCTCTAGGGAGCATTGGTTTCATGCAGATATCTCTAAACATTTAATAAAATATGCAGAAGCAACCAGAATCTCTCTGTCTTACTTTCCTTTTGGCTGCACTATTGTCTTGGCGTGGTGGTGCACCTGGAATGTTCTGCTCTACTTTCTACTCCTGTTTCATTCATTTGCACATATGTACCCCTCCCTGGATTCTCAGAAGTATTTTCCCCTGGTGAAAAATGACTATAATTCTCATGAAATCTTCCATTTTTAAATTGTTTATGCTTTTCAATTTTTCTGTCCACTCCCTACAATGATCTTAAATGCTCAGCGTCAGGGATGAATAACAAAAGATAGAATTTAGCTCAATGCTCAAGAAGGTTTTAGGGAAAGGCAATTACGTCTACGCCGCTTACGGGGCAGGTGGCAGCTGCCCGGAGAGGCAGGGCTGGAATCAACAAGACTGAACACACTTTTTCTTTTCTTTTTAAACAATAAGAACTCTAAGTTCTTTCTCTTTGAAGCTTCAACTGTCCTAATACTCTATAAATTCTTTTGGTTTTGATAGGTGACCAAGAGTGATTTCTAATTTCTTTTTTTTTTTCCCCCTTAGAACTATTACTAAACTCAGCCAGAAGTTTACCAAAGTTAATTTCACTGAAATCCAGAAGCTGGTCCTGGATGTGGCCCACGTGCACGAGCAGTGCTGCCGGGGAGACGTGCTGGAGTGTCTGCAGGACGGGGTGAGGCTCTGCTTGCCACAGAACATATGTGTGTCCACTCCTGTTCTTTCTTCTTGTCTCTCTCTAAAGGGTGGAGGCTGCCTGATCACGTGCTGGCTTTCACTGTGGACATGCTCCCTTCCGTGAGACCAGGGCTCGTCCGTTTCTTCTTCTTTTCTTTTTTTTTTTTGAGACAGAGTCTCACTCTGTTGTCCTAGGCTAGAGTGAGTGCCGTGGCGTCAGCCTAGCTCACGCAACCTCAGACTCCTGGGCTCAAGCGATCCTCCTGCCTTGGCCTCCCAGAGTGGCTGAGACTACAGGCATGTGACACCATGCCCGGCTAATTTTCTCTTCTCTGTATAGTATATATATATTTATATATATATAATTATATATAAATATATTATTATATTATATATATATTTTATATATATAATATATTATCATATTTTAGTTGTCCAGCTAATTTCTTTCTGGGGTCTCACTCTTCCTCAGGCTGGTCTCGAACTTCCTGAGCTTAAACGATCCTCCCGCCTCAGCCTCCCAGAGTGCTAGGATTCCAGGCAGGCGTGAGCCACCACACCCAACCCATTTCTTCTAAAGCAGATGGGAACTTCTCAGGAGGCCTCCATACAGGGTCTTGGGGACAGAGTCTTTAATTTTAATGTATTTATTTTTCCATCCATTCATTCTTTCATTTGACAAATATATGTTGAGTACTTTCTATCCACTGGCCACTGTGAGGGACACTTGCTATGAAGGCACAAGCTGAGCTCAAAGAATTTATATAGTCTGATGAAAGAGATAAGACAGCAACCTCCTTGGGTTAAAAACTGTCTTTTGTTTTCTGTTATCTCCGTAGGGCAATGCCTGGCGCAAGGGAGGCACTCTATTATAGTTCACTGAATGAATGAATGAATATAACAAAAATAACACAGAAACCGTTCCACAATTAGGTAAAAAGCTAGGCGCGCCAAAGAGAGATGTGAATAAAGGGCTCTAGGAGAATTGAAAAAATGAAAACAAAAATATCCAGCAACAAATTCTGCAAGTCTGCTGTAGTTAGTGGTGATTTAAGCAGCATGGCAGAAGCAGCATAGCATACCTCTTCCTAGATACTGTAAGAGAGGCCTATTTTTTTCCAAATTATTCTCTCGCTGGTCCCCTGTGACCAGAGATTAAAACAACAACAAGGAGATTAAAATCTTTGAGATTGGTTTTCTCAGTTTTTAATTGATGATTTTACTGATTGTCATCGTCATTTTTTACTGATTGTCAAATTAGTTTTTCAATGTTTGGAGCTCATCACCACCGTTTTCCTTTCCAGTGGAAAAAATTAATTTTACTATGCTATGTAAGTTGGATTTTAATAGCTGAATAATGGATTCTAATTGTCCTTGCAGAGAACGTACAGAATTTTCAGTGCCAAGGCCAGTATCTAAGCTCTGCCTCCTTCTGGCCACTCAGGTGCACTGCCATTTTCTTCTCCATACACTGCCCTCTGGAGGTCAGTGTGGGTCACTGCAGTTTGTTCCGGTAAAGAGGATTCTCATTCTCGTGTAATTTCTCAAAGAGAAAGCTAGCTCTCCATATTACTACATCAGCTTCAAATGTTGTCTAGTGACAAATAATGGAAAGAGATATAGCAACATGCATGACATTTAATTTGAGGACTACATTTCCCTCTTGTTAAAGGCTTCCTATTAAAATAAAACAGGGTTTACATGACAAGTATGGGAAGAAGAATTGAACAAATGGTTGAGTGAAAAGGAGCTAGGAAAGGCAAAAGTGGGGAGAAAGCACTAAAATAGGAGACAAAATGTCTTCTTTATTCCTTCCTTCTTTCCTTCTTCCTTCCCTCCATCTTTCTGTTTCTCCCTTCCCCCTTCCTTTCTCTTTTTTTCCTTACTCCCCTCTCCTTCCTTCCTTCCTTCCCTCTCCAGTCTTTCCTATTCTACACCTGGCCCTGAGGTCCTACATTAAAGAATAAACCTTTAACACTTATATTTAATTTTTCTCATTACAGGAAAGAATTATGTCCTACATATGTTCTCAACAAGATGCTATGTCAAGCAAAATAGCAGAATGCTGCAAATTGCCCATACTTGAACTTGGTCAATGTATAATTCATGCAGAAAATGATGAAAAACCTGAAGGTCTATCTCCAAATCTAAACAGATTTTTAGGAGACAGAGATTTCAACCAATTTTCTTCAGGAGAAAAAAATATCTTCTTGGCGAGGTAACACACTCTGAAACGTATGTTCATGCGAGTAAAGATTATTATGTGGCTGATCGCTTTGCATAGTTGAAGTGAAGAGTGATGGCTATGGTTTTTGAGTTCAGTATGTGAGAAATGTTTGGCTAGAATGTTCTGCGCCAAAATAGATTTAAGCAGATAACTAGGTAATGAGATTTATTTTAGGATGATGAAACTTTTGCCATTGCTGTTATTAACTGGCTTGTTTATGGAGTTGTATTTTATTTTGTATCAATTTATCTGGAATAAGAAGTGTTGTCATCTTGTATGGATTATTCCTATGAAGGCCAACGTTGAACTTTCAAATAGGATGTGGTTATTTTGGTAATAAGAAGGGTTTGTGATTAAGAATGCCCTCTTTTGCAATGCATGTTTAAAAAACTTTCCCCCCAATACATAACTCAATAGATACTGCTAGATAGAACATCTTTATTAGAATCGCTTATTTACTATTTATTAAATATGTTTTGTATTTGTTAAGAAAATCAAAACATGTTTATAGACATTTGCATTAGTTTATTGTAATATAATCGATAGGCCATGTTCTCATTCTATTTGTCTTCAAGAGAAACAAGCAATTAAATTAATACATTTTTCCTTTATTGTACAATGTGTTTCTATGGACACAATTAGAAGAGGGATTTGTGCAGATCTTAGGACATTATACTTAAAGATCTCCAAAGGTCTTTCTAAGTTTAAGAGTCTTATTCTAATGCAGTAATGAAAATAATGGCCCAATTCTTTTTTTAATATTCCCTGATGATATTACTCTATCGTTGCATAAAATGAGACATTCACATCTGTTTACACTGCTAAATAAAATTATGTAAACTAGAACAAAGTACAGATTTAAGGGACACCTATTGACAATTTATTGGTAGTAGAACTAATTCTTTAACTTGGGAATGCAATTAGTAAATTCAAGAATTATCTTTAAGTTTACACAATCATATACAGCTAAAGCTAATAGAAGCAGTCCTCAGTTGCAAAGTTTCCTTGCAGTAGAAATTTTCTCAGCCTAGAATGATCTTCCTCTAGACACTTGCATGACTCCCTTCACTCAGCTGATCTCGGCTCCTCTGTCAGCTGCCCAGAGAGATTTTCTTGACCACACCCTAAATTAGTGGCCTTCTACCTCACGTGTCACCTCTCTTCCATCTTCCTTTATTTATCTTTTCTGATTTATCACTACCTGAAATGAGATGACCTATTCTGTGTTTATTGGTTTCCACCCCCATGTAAGCTTTTAGAGGGCAGGCATTTTACCCTACAGATCATTGACTCCTTTCTGCTTGAAGCAAAGCTAGCATAGAGTAGGCACTGGAAAAATATTTGTTGAATGAGTGAATGTAAAGTCCATAATGGACAAATCAAAGTGGGAGGGGCAAAAGAAAACAAAAAGCCACTTTACAGGACAATTTGAGGGATTATAGCTTGTATTAACAGTTTTGTCATTCATATAGTTCAAATCATATTTGATTTCCAGGTGTGTGTATTTGAATTTTAACTTCTATGTGCCACATTGCACAGGAATAATTAGGGAAGTGATGGTTTCATGTTGTCTCTTAGTTCCAATAATTTATGATATTTTCCCCACGTATTTCAGTTTTGTTCATGAATATTCAAGAAGACATCCTGACCTTGCTGTCTCAGTAATTCTAAGAGTCGCTAAAGGATACCAGGAGTTATTGGAGAAATGTTTCCAGTCTGAAAATGCTCTTGAATGTCAGGATAAAGGAGTAAGTTGTTCTAGAACTTTAGGGGACTCTAAAAAATTGGGTTGATATCATCCATTAAAAAATGCTGTTTGTTTGAAAGCTTCTAGTTGTTAATTAGTAACTAGCTAGTTATGTATATTAACTAGTTATCTCAATATTAAGTAGTAATTAACTAGCAGTCAGCAACTAGTGGCTTACTTTAGAAATAAAAATGTTAATCAAAAGATCTCTGATGCAGAAATAAAGGTAGTATTCATTTTTGGAAGGCTTCAGAAAGGCAAGACTTTTGTACAGAAAGAACTGCAACCCTTTATCCAAAGATTGAGTTCTGCCATTAAATAATTTTATGATTCATAAAGTTTTAAACTGAATCTCCCCCAAATCCATTTGCTTTACTTCTCAAAATTCACACTTTACCATCTTTAATATTTAAAAAACCTCTAAGATTGGTTTTTCTATTCTTGATTTTATAATAGAATGAAATATTGATCAATGTTTATATACAGAGTTTTGTGTCCAGGAAGATAAAAGATTGTATGCAATAATGCTTGTATTTCCAGGAAGAAGAATTACAGCGATACATCCAGGAGAGCCAAGCATTGGCAAAGCGAAGCTGTGGCCTCTTCCAGAAATTAGGAGAATATTACTTGCAAAATGCGTATGTTTTTGCAAACAGTATTTCTAATGATTTAAAATTATTAACAGACAGGGGAAATATAAATTCAAATTAGTGAACCCATGGCTACTCTATTTCTAGCTCCGATTTCAGATTGGAAGGCAGTGAAATCTGAGCACCCAGTTTCCTGGACGAGAAAGTCTGATCTGTGATACTTTAGTGGCTTTACATTCCCCATACTGCGCACGTGTTTGCTGTAAAGATGTTCATTCCATCATAGTTCATTAAAACACCAGAAAAGATCACAGTAAACTTCAAAGAAGCTCTGAGGTTCGGCACGAGGGTGGGCCTTTTGTCCAGAGCTTGCTTTCCCGTTGTGACATGTTGCTTATAACGGGAGTTCGGGGTGTGGTCGAGTAAATGCATCTCAGAAGTTGGTCCACATACCATGTGGTTGAAACAAATGAACCGACCTCATGTCATCTGACCCCAGGAGAGAGTTTCTGAGAAGGAGCAAGGAATCTACAACCCCATGAATGACTCAGCAGGGCTGGGTAAAAAAAAAAAAAATGCTTCTTTCAGGTTTCTGGTTGCTTACACGAAGAAAGCCCCTCAGCTCACCTCGTCTGAGCTCATGGCCCTCACCAGAAAAATGGCCACCGCAGGGGCCACTTGCTGCCAGCTCAGTGAAGACAGACAGCTGGCCTGTGGGGAGGGAGCGGTGAGTGTCTGCTTTGCTTAGGACCGTCTTATTTCTTCGCAGCCAGTTTATTCAACCATGTCTGAGCAAACTCTGTGTACAGAAAAAATAGGACTAATGTGTTATTCAACTCATCATTTCCTCTTTTTGCTCACTAAATACTTGAATGTTAATAAAAGAAAAAACTGGCCGGGCATGGTAGCTCACGCCTGTAATCCTAGCATTCTGAGAGCCTGAGGTGGGAGGATTGCTCCAGGTCAGGAGTTCGAAACCAGCCTGAGCAAGAGTGAGACCTCGTCTCTACTATAAATAGAAAGAAATTAATTGGCCAACTAAAAACATATATATAAAAAATCAGCCGGGCATGGTGGCACATGCCTGTAGTCCCAGCTTCTTGGGAGGCTGAGGAAGGAGGATCCCTTGAGCCCAGGAGTTTGAGGTTGCTGTGAGCTAGGCTGATGCCACTGTACTCTAGCCCGGGCAACAGAGTAAGACTCTGTCTCAAAAAAAAAAAGCTTAGTCTTTGATAGATTAAATTTAGTCATTTTATTTTAGCCATAGTTACATTTTTGCCTTTGTAGTATAATTTTATTATTTATATTTATTTAAATGTATTATTTAATATTATTATTATGACATTAGGGACGATTTGTTCCCTTTGACAGGGTACAGGGTGCAGAGCAGGGTACGTCCCATGTTCTCAAGACTAATAAAATGATTTCCAGTTAGTAATGCCAATAATCTCTACTTCCTAATGTCACAAGTGTCATACATATGATGACAGGTGAATTTCTTTCCATTATTTTTTCCCTTAAAGTTGTAATTGTGAACAAATTAGTATATCTCTTTTATCTCTTTTCTTCTTTTTGATGATGGGGAATCATTTGCTAGTTAGTCTTCATGTTGTGGAATTTTCCACCAAAGTCTGGGAGTGAAAGGAGAGCCTCTTGTGATTAAACAACACGCTAAGCGTTCGTTGAATCCACGTGTCGGGAAGCTGCAGGCAGGCGCAGGGGCACAGGTTCCCGACCCACCTGCCAACATCCCGCCCCTCTCTCACTACCTGTAGTCTTGTCACACTGGCAAAGTTACTTACCTCACTAAGCTTGAGCTTTTTCATGACATTGAAGAATAAGAATTGTACCAGCCTCACAGAACCGCCGTTTTAAGCAAGGTAATCTGCATAACTCACGTGGCGCTAGCCTCATAGACAGTTCGCACACAAAACATGTTGGCTCTTACTACAAGTCACTGCTGGATGCTCAAGAAATATCTCTGAAGGGTGGAAGGTAGGAGGATTCCACATTAGAAAAACCTGAAAGACAACCCCATATTGGTTCGATTTCTTTGCAATTAGGATTATATATTAGCTGTATGTCTGTGTGCATATATGTGTATATATGTGTATATATGTGTATATATGTATATATATATGTATGCATATGTGTACATATATATAAATAAAAGGGCTAGGTTTGTACCATTTTTACCTTCAGAAAGTGATTCTTTGGATCTCAAAAGTAAAAGGGAGAGCTCAACAAGACATATACCAAAAATGTAACCTGTGTATTGGTTTGCGTAGGTCAGGGTAGAGACTTGGTTTCCCCTTTGGAAGTCTGTATGTGACTGGAACTGTGTTTCAAATAGCTGAGGCAAATAGCTAAAGGGATTGTCTTCAGCGTTCCCTAGGGAACATCTGCCACTAAATGCTGAGGTTTATCTCAAACAAATGGGTAAACGCTAGAATTTATAATATAGTATTATACGATCCTACATGGCAAGTTTTCCTGTAATGTTAATTATAAGTTGCTGGACGGTGGAAATTATTACAAGTTTTCTGGAAACTTGAACCAACTTTATGGCTAACGTGCAGTCTCCTAGCTGTCTTCTTTCTCTTTCTCCCACCGAGGCCGACCTTATTATCGGGCAATTATGCATCAGACACGAAGCAACTCCCGTAAACCCTGGTGTGGGCCACTGCTGCACTTCGTCCTACGCCAACAGGAGGCCGTGCTTCAGCAGCTTGGTGGTGGATGAAACATACGTCCCTCCTTCGTTCTCTGACGACAAGTTCATCTTCCATAAGGACCTGTGCCAAGCCCAGGGCGTAGCGCTGCAAACGATGAAGCAAGAGTAAGAACCCGTTATTTGCTAGCATGGAGAAGACTGACAGTACCAGAGAGCAACCGAGACTTCTACCTTGTGCTCCTAACACTTTTGGACTCACTACTAGAACATTTTTACCCCCAAAACACTTAAAATATCTTTTGAAGTAGTTTTGTGTCAATGCCCTTACAGCCTCTTTGGGAAGTAGATTTGGAAAAATTCACAAGGGCAATTTCCTGTTTGTAAAAATAATCGATTGTAACTATTGTTGTGATGCATTTTGGATTGAGAAAAAAATGGGCAATCTATTTTAGGGAGTTAGGGTGTATCTTTGCAGTAAATCTGGGTACATCCATTCCAAGCACAAAAAACACATCATTGAATCTTCTTTCACACTATTTACACTTTGAAGAGAATAACCATGACATTTGATTTAATTATGCAGCTATGGGTGTTAAGAAATGACATGCACATTTCAATTCTTCGTGGGAGCTGTTCTGTAATGGTGATGGAGATGCAAGTCAGTGAGTGGAACTAATATCCTCCAAACTCCCGTGCATTTTAATGCTTGCTTTGTAAATTGTCTTCCTTCATTGGAAAACTCACTCTTCCTTTTTTTCTACTATCACATTTGAGACATGTTTCAAGGTACAATAAGAATGCTGCCTCCTCTGGTGAGCTTTCCCTATTGCCCTGGTCAACATTAATTCCAACATAAAAGAATTTCAGAAAGAGTAGTGCAGGCAATTAGTGTCACCAGTGCCCAAGTGAGAGTGTGATAACAACTGTGGATGGCAAGATTTGGAAATCTGAGCCTTTGGGTGTGGATAAGACACACTTTAGAAGAGATGACAGGAAGGGATATTCTAGACAAGTAAGAAGAAGACTGCCTTTCACTACATATAAATATGGTGGAACTATGAGAGAGTATTTTATCTAAAACATGTGCAAGTCCAGACCAGTGGAATGTTTGGCATGTGTCCAGCCACAATCTTTCCAGGGAAAATACTAGACAGGTTGTGTGTGGTAAGTCTGGGAGAGCTGATGGAGTGAGGGTTGCTAGGGCTCTGAAAATTCTCTACTAGGAAGGCTCTAGAAAGATACCATTGCATAACAGACATCTCTTGTCTTTGTTTCATTTTAAATCATAGGTTTCTCATTAACCTTGTGAAGCAAAAACCACAAATCACAGAGGAACAACTTGAGGCTGTCATTGCAGATTTCTCAGGTCTACTGGAGAGATGCTGTCAAGGCCAGGAGCAGGACGTCTGCTTTGCTGAAGAGGTATGTGCAGTTCCCTCCACACTCAGAATTCCTGGCATGGAATTTTCTGTAGTGAAAATAGTAAAAAGGATGCCCTCCAACCCTATAACTTTAATGTCAGAGATTGAAATTTCATTTAGAAATGGAAGAATTTTATGAGATTTTAAAAATAATCACATTTTCCACACTAAATATTAGGAAGAATTATAATGGAAAAAATATTAAGATAATTAGTAATTTTGATTTCTTTCCCAGTAAAGAAAATTATAAAAATGAATATTATAAATAATTGATGATGATTTGGACAGTTTCTGGCCTAAAATCGATCAATTCAGCTAAATGGATTAAAGAATTTAATAGCAAATTAATTATGTAAACAGGATATTAGAAATATATTTATTGAAAATGTTTTTGAACTCGTTTAGAAGCATGCCTTTGTGTATCAATAGAGTATTAACTGGGAATTATTTTAATCTAATTAATTATTGTAGCTGGATTTGTAATTGGCTACATTTTTTTTAAAACTGGAGAATTCTATCTAACATTTTCAAAACTTATTTTTGTCCAGTTTCATTGCAGCATGATTGACAAATCACAATTGTGTATATTTAGAGTGTATATGTGGTATTTTGATGTATACATTGTGAAATGATTACCAATCAAGCTAACTGGCTACATTTTGTAAATATTTAGTTTGTATTACTAAATATATTTAAATATAGAATCACTATATTTAAAAAAAGATATTCTATAATTCAGCCTTTTTGTCAATTTTATCTATCTCACAGTGTAAAAGTTTGGATGTTTTGTTATGTGCAAACTCCAAAGACCGATAGTATTTAGAGATGGAGAGTTTTTCTATAACTACTATAATTATATAATTTTATAATTATATAATTTATCTAACTATATAATTTCTCTATAACGAATATAATTAGCTGTGCTTAGGGGTGTGCACTCATCGGCATGTGTCTGTATTTTGGTGGGGTCAGGTGGCAGTGGGACACAGATAACCAAATCAGACAAAACTGATAAAACAGACACAATGTAAACTATTTCTGATAAATAGGACACATAAAGATTAATGCCGCCTGATTTGAGAAGATTCATTTAGATGTAGAGAACATTAGCAGATAGTAGCAGTGTTTTCTCTGCAAACCTTTTGATTTCTAGTGACTTGTGATTTGTAGAGGAAGGGGAAAGGCAGGGCGAGGACAGGCAAAGGTTGGGAGGTTGTTTTGGAAAACAAATCTACTGTTGATATGAATGAATATCTTTTCTCTCTGACTTCTACTATCCTACCTTGTTCGCGTCAGAGATATATTTCTTTATTTTTAACTTCGTTAACCTATACATGTGTGACTTTACCCTGGATTGTAGAGAGCTAACTGTATGACTGGCACAACCATCCACTTCTTTATCTGATTATTTTTATTTGTTCTTAATTTTCAGGGTTCAAAACTGATTTCAAAAACTCGAGCTGCTTTGGGAGTTTAAATTACTTCAGGTAAAAAAGAAATTCAGACATGGCTGAATATAATGTTGATTCTCCCCAAATATCAATCCATAATGACATAAATCCTAAGAAGTACCATTAATTTTCTTAAAAATAAATGCAATTCAATAAAAAAGTTTATTTGAAGAACACTAGAACAAAATCATGCACACAGTGTTAAATTAGTGTCTCAACTAATGTACAATTCTTTCAGGTTATTTCAAAGTCTTCAGAGAATGCCATGAGCAGGTCTCCCTGTGTGTCCAGTGTTTCCCTGATATAAAGTAATAGGACCAGTTACCTTGTGCACCTATTTATTTAATTAGTATTTAATATATTTTCATTATATTTCAGGGGGAAGAGAAGACAAAAGGAGTCTTTGTGGTCTGATTTGAACTTTTCTCTTTAATTTTAGCTAATTTAATACTTTTTGTGAATTAATGAAATGATGAAGACTTGTATGTGAGATTTTCGTGTCATAGAAATAAAGTATTTCCAAATGTTTCCTTTTTCCTAGTCTGCTTATTTATGACAACTTATAGATCATTTCTTTAAATAGTATTGTATACTATTGGCTGAAGCAGATTCTTGCAAAATCCTTGAGTATTGGTTATTACAGGAGATTAAGGCCATCCAAGGATGGATTTACAACACTACATCATTGCATCATTTGGTGAACTGAAAACATGTTCCCAAGTTAAGCAGTTTTTGAAGCTGCCAGTACACACTGTTCATTAAATGACCTCATAAATATCATAGCAGATAACCTGGTGATGAGAACAGAAATTATTGTGCTTCCATAGGATCCATGAAAATTTAATATCTACTTTTTTCACAATCTTGCTCACATCTCTATTCACAAACATATTAACACAAATATTAACTGTCCTGTAGTTTTTATTGAATGTAATTGATGTTTTCATCAGTTACTGTTTTATTCCATAAGTGTTCACTGAATACCAGGCCTTGTTCTTGGTGCTGTCCCTGCTCCCCAGTTGCCTCTGTAAAGAAGGAAGCAGCTACACAGCAGTGCCACAGATTATGGCCAGAAGGGGGTGACAACAAATCATCGAGGGAACCAAAGGGTGGGCATCAAGGACCAGTTGCGACTGGAGAAAGTGCTAAAAACCTTCAAGAAGAGTCTTAGAAAAGGAGTGGACATTCATCAGTTCAGGTCAAGGAGACGGCCATTTTACGAAAGAGGAAAACATGGTCAGAGGTACTAGGTATGGCAAAGCATGACAAATGGTTTTAGGGACTGTCAGGTGGGTAGGAAGGTACAAGTGTGGAATTTGAGGCAAGATATGGAAGCCATGAGGGGCTAAGCCAGAGTCTCATGGCTTTGTTCTAAAGGAATTGGACAATATAGTATGGGTAACAGAGGACCAAAGTGGCATCTAAGCAGAGGAGTTCCATCAGCCATTAGCTTTTAGGAAGATAATTCGTGAGATATAGAAGATGAGGTTATGGGAAAGAGCTGGGAAGGTCAAAGTCAGAAAGTGATGACAGAAAGTCCAGTCTACCAGTGAAGAGGCTGTTTATTGTATTAGCTTTGAAGAGAAGTCTAAAAATTGCGTTCATGCTTTGGCCTGTGCTCCAGGAGAAAATATTGCTCCAGGGCAATAAAAGGAGCTTTCAGTTATAATTCAATTGCTTTCTACTTTCCATTTTTCTTTCACCTCTATAGCAACTTCTGTGGACTTTGTCTGATTTTGGCATAATTCCAAAAGGTATTAATTTAGAGATAACAATAAAATAAAATCAAATTCAACAGAAAAACATCAAACAGGAAAAATAGTGTTTTATTGTTAAGAGAAAAATTCAATGAACTGTTAGGAAATATATCAGCCAAATGACATTTCATTGAAATATGTAAAGAAATATATAAAAATGATTGGAAACACAAGGATAAATTGACAGAAATGCAATAGTAAATTGGAGATTTTAAAACATCTCTACTTTAGCAGAATAAGTTAGGCAAATAATAAAGATTCAGTATAAACTGGTCTAGTCAAGGTTACCTATGACTTCCGCCCTGCAAAACCCAATATTCAGTTCTTCGTCTTTAGCTTACCTGCTTTCTCTCTGTAGAACATGGCACACTTGATCATTCCCTTTTCCTTGAAACATTTTCCCCATTTGGCATCTGGATCTTCCTCCAACCTCACTGGCTGCTTCTCAGTCTTCTTTGCTGTGCCCGCCTCGACTCTTGACCTCTCTATGTTGGCGTGTCTCAGAGCAGCTCTCCCCAAATCTAAACTCCTCTCTACGTGGCCTCACCCATATTCAGCGCATTAAATACCACCTAGATGTTGACAGCACATGCTTGTGTCACCAGTCTTGATTTCTTTGACTTCCAGGCTCAAGTGTCAGCTTCCTCCCTGACATCTTCATGCCCAGGATGCAGAGATGACACAAAGTTAGCACATTATAAACCACACGGATCCTCTCCTTGTCCCAAACTAGTGTCTCCCTCTGTATTGTCCATTCTTCTGTTTGCTCAAGCCAGAAACCTTAGAGTCACCAACGATGCCTCTCTTTCTTGCAAATCATGCTAACGTCCAATCTATGAGGAAAGCCTGTCTGCTCTACCTATCAAGTATGTTCAGAATTTGACTCTTTCCCAATACCTCAGGGACAAGCCACAATCACACCTCACCAGGGTTATTATAATAGCTTCCTAATTGGTTTTCTTAAAAGCACACTTGCCCTATCCCCAGCTCTCTTCTCAACATACTAATCAAAGTGACCCTTTATATGTAAGTACATCATGTCACCTTTTCACTCAAAGCCCTCTAGTGGCTTCCCATCTCGGAGTAAAACGCAAAGTCTGTCCAATGTCCCTCCATGCTATTATTTTTCTGCCCTTTTCTCTTATTCCTCTGCTCAAGCGCAGTGGCCTCCTTGCTGTTTTTCAGATTTCCAGTCCTGCTCAGGGTTTTGCCTGTGTGATTCTTCTTGCTTGGAAAACCCTCGTGTGTGTGTGTGTGTGTGTGTGTGTGTGTGTGTGTGTGTGCGAGGCTTACTCCACCAGCAACTCAAGCTTCTGCACATGGTCACTGGCTGGACAATGATGTCTTCCTTGACCGCCCTGTTTTAAACCACACCACCATGCCTGCCCTCCACACCACTATCACCATCTGATAAACACGAGATTCTACTGGTTCACGTTCTATCTCTACTAGAGTGTAAGCTCTAAGGGAATTGGGATTTTTGTCTGTTTTGTTCACTTCTGTTACCCTTGTCATATAGACTAGTGCCTGGAACATAATAGGCATTCTAGAAATATGTGGATTATGGATGAATACCTTATGCCATGGGCCCTATTTTCATATAAGGTGGTGAAATAGAGCATATGCTACACTAGGGAGAGAGAAAAGCATGGGCCTGAGAAATTAACATAAAAGACAGAGACCACTGGGGAAGTTAATGACTCTCAAGTGTGTGTGTGTGTGTGTGTGTGGAATGAGGATTGGGGGTGGCAGCAGTCTAGGGTAGCTGGCTTAAAAGAGGGTAGATAGGTTTGGGGTTAGATTTTAACTTGTGCTTTTGTCCATACACCCAATTGCAAAGAAGACTGTCACTTGCTTCATTGTGAAACAGAAATCAGAAGCAGTAGCCCAAATTGCCTGGTGTCCACAGAATAATATCAGGATAAGGCTACACTCCTGCTGGGGTGATATGCTGGTGAAAACAGGTGGGTACAGATCAGCTACTCTTTAAGAATCAGCCCTTCCAGCCTACTCCTCTTCTGCCTACTCTTCCAGCATTGATGGATTACCATATAAAGATTTTTTCTCCTCCCATGATACTGCTTTCAAAGAGTTAAGGGATATTCTAGAGAATTGTTTAAGAGTATGAAATTAAATTAGCATTCAAAACCAGTAAGATCTCCAGAAAATCCACAAATATTTGTTAACTAAATAACATGCTTCTAAACAACTCATGGATCACAGAAGAAATCAGAAGCATATTTAAGAGGCCGGGCGTGGTGTCTCACGCCTGTAATCCTAGCACTTTGGGAAGCTGAGGAGGGCAGATTGCTCAAGTACAGGAATTCAAAACGAGCCTGAGCAAGAGCGAGACCCTGTCTCTACTAAAAATAAAAAGAAATTAATTGGCCAACTAAAAATATATAGAAAAAATTAGCCAGGCATGGTGGTGCATGCCTGTAGTCCCAGCTACTCGGGAGGCTGAGGCAGAAGGATCGCTTGAGCCCAGGACTTTGAGGTTGCTGTGAGCTAGGCTGATGCCACGGCATTCTAGCCAGGGTAACAGAGTGAGACTCTGTCTCAAAAAGAAAAAAAAAGAAGCATATTTAAAAATACTTTGATCTGAATGAAAATGAAAAGCAATGTGTCAGAATTTGTGGGATGCCATTAAAACAGTACTTAAAGAAAATTTATAACACTGAAGGCATACATTAGACAAGAAGGAAGATTTCAAATCCATTACCTGATTACAAAATTATTCATTACTCTTGGTTATTCTCCTTGCTCGTGTATACCTCGGTCGATGGAATGACGGCCCAGCTCCCCAATCCTCTGTCGGATGATTCTCGGACATCTTCCACCTCTCATTTCCCAACAGGATGGCACCCCAGTTGCTACGCTGTTACCGTTCTCATTAACACCGTTTTTATTGACTTTTCGCCCTTCTTGGTCTCACTTCCTCACTTGTGCCCCCTCCAATCACCTTCCAAATATAGTACAAGTCTTTGTCTACAAGTCTGCTTCTGGGGAATCCAAACTAAGAAAGAGTCACTTTTGGATTTTGGCCTAGCTGTCAAAGATACCAACCACTGTTACCCAAGTACGTCACAGGATGTGTGTGGTGCTAGAGGGTGTTCTAATTTAGCTGTTCAGAATGTAGCTTTTTTGCTTATTCTCCTGATTATTTCCACGTGGTCCACATCTACTCTTTGTATTCTTCGGACTTGGAACCCCTCTAGAATGCTTTTGGGAAGAGCTGACATCATCTCTCATGTTTTAGCTAAAGTTCCCTCCTATCTGTTAATATTCCCCCAATGTGATCCCATCTGTTTTATAGTTTCCAAGATTTTCTCAAGCTTTTGATTATACCTCTGTCTCTCTTTTTTTTTTCCAGTGTCTGGATGTATATGTATGTATCTATATTGTTGAAGCAAAACTTGTTAGGCATATTTATCTGAGCAAGTTTCAAAATATATTACTCGTTAATGAGGGAGTTAGCAATCAGATGATTCCAGGTAAATATAAAATGACAGGGAAGAAAACTAATTTCGATACATTAAGTTACTAACTAAGCACAGACTACTATTTTACTTCATGTGATCATAAAAATATCACATTCTTATTAATGGTAGGGAGGGCTAAATTTGTGCAATGGATGAGTTGGAGTTATTTTCTTATCATTGCCAGGTGTGAACCAGTAATTGGAAATAAAAAACTTATCTGAGAAGAAAATAAAGATAAAAGGCAAATTGATCTCTGATTAATAATTGAATATTCGTAGAAATATGTTCTTTTTTTT